GATTTGTTGGGTTGAAGTAGTAGATTGTTAAGTCAGAGGGGTAGTCGAAGTAGGTTGTATGGTCAAAGTCGAAATGGTCAAAAGAGTAGTCAAAATAGATTGTCTGGTCGAAGTCGAAATAGTTGAAAGAGTAGTTGAAGTGGGTTGTCTGGTCGAAATGGTCGAAGGAGTGATGGATGGTTAGGTCAAAAAGGCGATAAATGATAAAGTAATAGTTGGTTGGGTTGAAGGTATAATCAATGGTTGGGTTGAAGAAGTTGTTGTGGGTGTTTAAGTCGAAGGAGTTGTTGTGAGTGTTTGAGTAGAAGGAGATATAGATGGTTGGGTTGTGGATGGTCGGGAAGTAGTAGCTATATATGTTGGACAAACTCTTGGGATTTGGGATTTGACCATGAAAAAATCCAGACAAATGGGATTGTCCATCTATATTTAAAATTTTTATATAGCAAAATTGGACAAATTTTAATACCAAATCCCAAATCCCAAATCCTATATAATGAAGTTTTTATTAAGTTAGAGTTTGTTAGGTCTCTAAGTAAAGTTGTAAAAGAGGATTTTCTGGTTCTAATGATAATTAAATCATCAAAATTGGCCTGATAGATCTCAAGATATTTGAGATTAAAAGTGCAAATATAGAGATCTGCAAATTGGTAGTTACACAAAGTATTATAGTGTTATTTTTGCTCATATATAATTTTTTTTACTTAATTCACTTGCAATTTATTTCTTATGTATATATTTGTTTTATACGGAGGGTTTCGATCTACAATTGTTTTCTAGGATGACTACTGGGGCGAAACCTTATTCATTATGATTTTTTATTTTTAGGAAACAAAAAAAAATGGTCACAGAAGTTCCTGATAATTTTAAACCAAAGTTTAGAGTCAGTTTCGATCCAATTGCTACAAACACGGTAGAAATTAAGTGGGGTGACTCGTTCGAAAAGGTTAAAAGTAAAATTGAGGAGAACTTAAATATTACTGTCAATCATATTGCTAGTATTCGATATATACAACCGGGAGGAGGTTTGCTGAAAATTTTGAACCTGAAGAATTTGAAAGGACAGTCTTTATTGTAAATCCGTAATGGTGGGGATAATGGGTTATTTTTTTTATTCGTATTCGCACTTGTAACAGTGATATATTTTTTTTTATTTGTATATTGTTCCGACAACAAATTATATTAAATAAAGAAGGGGTCAATAGCACTGCCATTTTTTATTTTAAAAAATATATATATCGATGTGCACTGTGAGCTACAGATGTAATGTTTTCTATTTCTGACTTGCGATATTCTGTAGAAAATCATGCCTCCACTATTATGCTTTTATTTAGAAATTTAAGTGCATTATTCCAAGGAATAGGTAATGTGAAGGATTGAGTCTTTAACTTCTGAATTAATTTAGAATTTTCAGGATAGGCTTCTAGTACCTCGTCGAATGGGATTCCGGAGTCTTTGATATTATCACAATACAAATAATAAAATTTATTGCTTTGATTATCTGACCACCACTTACCTTGCAAACTCATATGATTTTTTCTACATAGTGGACAATATGAACCTAAAACCTAATAAGAATCAGTTTGATGCTCACCTTCTGTATCTATGCTATTATTTTTATCCAACTTTGGTGAATCGATAAAATGTGTGGTTAATTTATTAATAACTTGATTACGCATTTCTTTTGACAGCATTTTCTTTAATGGAAAGAGGTTTAGAGTGGGCGATGCACTTACCTCAATATTTGATATATCATTTGAGCTAGATGGTACAATCACGTGTGCGTGAAGATTCTTCACGCCGATTACTTTTTGACATTCAGTTTTTTCAGAGAAAAGCTTTATTATGGTTTGGATTTGAATACCTGTTAAACTAGAAATGGCATCAGCACTATACGTAACTTGCTTGATTTTATCTATTACTATTTCTTTGAACAATGTATAAATATTTCTAGCCTTTTAAGTTTTCTTACGCAAATACTCTCTCTTGATGCCAGGAAGAAATGGTTCCATTTCATTATAAATCGCATTCTTGCTATTTGATCATTAATTTCATTTTTTAAGCTAATATCTCTAACCTTTTTTTCAAATTCCTCACTATAACAATACCAACGTAAAATTTCTTTCTGGCCAGTTTTTTT